TGCGTCTTATATGCCGGAGCATCTTATATGGTGAAAAATATGGTATATATTCTGTGTGCAAGGGGTAGAGTATGCTATCACCACCACACCATTATCGCTTTCCTCTTGCAAAAGTGCCACATGCAAAGGAGAACATCTTGCATCCATGTGAGCCTCAACTCCAATTTCTCCTTTTCAGAAATGTTATTTCCATACAAAGACATGATGATGGAAGAGACACACATGTCTAATAAACATGCTTACTAAACATCTAAATAGGGTAATGTCTCTCTTATATGTGTATCCACATGCTTGTGGGTACTTTGCTGCTATTTTCTTTTTTCATTTTCTTGTTCCAGCACAAAAGGAAGTTTTCACCACAGCATGTGATGCTTAGTGGAGTTTGTCTCTCAGCAGATATCTGGATACTTGGAGTTACATGTTCCTAATAATTCTCGCTCCCATGATTCAATTCAATCCCACCCCAATCTTAATTTGTTTCTGAAAAGCATTGCCCACATTCACACTTTGGTTTGGTGGCATGTTGCAAATGCCAACTACAATGTTTTTTAGATTTCCATTACCATTTATTTTTAGCCAGATGATTTCTATAGCAGTGGTACACAAAGTGGTGGTCCACTGAGTAGTGCCAGTCTGTGACTCATTGCATACCCTCCAAACATCTGTTTTGGCAAGGACAATTCAGACTAATCATGTTACCCTGCTTTTCCAGATGTGTTTAAAATGTCACAGTTTCTCTTCCCACTTTACCCCTTGGTCCCCAGCTTCCTTTGGTTGCTGCAAACTGAATTCAAAGGGCAAATATAGTTTACACCTTATTAACTCAGTTGGGGGAGAGGAGAAGAGGGATGGAATGTTGTTCTTCCTAGTAAACCCAGGCAAAAGCAAACTGCTGCAGCCTTTCCTGGCTTATGTGTTCTTCCTCATTACTAAATGTAGCCATCTTGATCATACTCTGGTGTTGCTTAGCTGTATGTGTCCTCATTTTCATCTTTTAAATATAGAAAGACATGTCATTGGCTGCTGGTCTGTGGTGATCATTCAGCAAACAATGCAAATGTGATGGTAATATGGCATAAATATACTACTGGCATGTTAGGGGAAAATGCTGATCTACCACTGGATAATCTGAGAAGCACTGCTCTACAGGGCTTTGATTTTTTGCATTTCTATGTAGGTTTTCTTTTGCCGTCCAGTACTACGGTCACTCTTTTTTTGGTGACTTGTTCATTTTGAACAACATACATTATCCAATTATTGTGTCCCATTGTGGTAGGCATCCTATCAAATAGGTTATATGTACTGACATATGTATATACTCAGCTATACAGTATATACTTTCCTGTACTAGTAGAAGACCTCTACTTGTTCCTTGAAACTTGTCAGTCATGTTTTAAAGCACAGCATGCAACAGCTGGTGGGGAATTGTTGGCTCTCCACAGCTCCCACAATCCTTTAACATTGGCCATACTGATGGGACTGATAGGAATTGCAAACCAAAACATCTGACAGTGTAAAAGTCATCCCACCAACACACAATATATCAATAAAAGGCTAGATAGGAACAACAAAGGATTGTACTAAGGACAGGTAAATAAGAACTGTCCGTGATCAACACAAACCACTATGGACGTTATCACATGTGGGCCAGAAAGCGAAAATAAAGTGGAAATGAGGCATTCCGAAAATAAACGGAAAATAAACCTTAATTCCGCAAACGTTATTACCTTAATTGCGAATTTACAGTAAGCGCATTTAAAGTTCACACACAAGTGAGAAAAGCCCATAAATGTACTAGAAATGATCTTCTTGCACATGCGCAGATAGAGGAATGCTCGCTGGGACCATGGCAACAGCAGGGAAATGCTCCCAAATGTGCATTTGGTTACCACATTACGGTAAATGTGAAATTACCTTAATTGCGCATTTGCATTTCCTCCAAACAACCGAATTTCAAAAGATCGTGGTTAACACCAGTTTCTGTCCACTTTCTGTCCAGTTTCTGTGTGACGTCATGTGAAAACACAGGGCACTAATCCAGTTTCTGTTTGGGTTTTGTGTGGATTAACCAGCAGATTTGTTCCCATGTGATAACGTCCTAGGTCTTATGTGCTTGTAGCCTATGAAAAGTGGCAAATGCTTTAGGACATAGAATTATTTTCTTTATAGAAACTGGGCCCAGGAGGAAATATTGTATGATTTCTTGGAAGTTTTTTTAATATTTTGTGTGGTAGAAATAATATTTTACTAGGTGTGAAGCTAGGCTTTTCTAAATCAGAATTGATTTATATGAATAGAGGCTGAATTACTTATTGACGTGCACTGTATTTTCCCATTACTTATCCCAGTAAATGTATTAAATGGTGTTTCTGTATTCTCTAGCATGATTGTAAACCATGGGTTTGACATTATAAAGGTCTGTTCAAATGAATCCCCCTCCCCTCAGAAACCTGAACATTTATGTTGGGAATTGTTTCTGCTTTAGATAATAAAAGAATGAAACAAAACAGAAATTCAGTGAATATTTAAAATAACTCCTTCAAGCTAAATGCTGGTATTATTTTAATGTGGCACCTATCCTTTGTATATGTTATGTAATACTTTTATATCTGTAAATTTTAGTAATGCTGCCATTGAATAAAGCCATTTCAGATTTGTTTTTTACATTTGTGGTTTTTAAAAACATTTTCTTAATGACTGCACCAGGGACAGGGTTAAATCTCCCCATTCCAGTTTCCTGCTCTAAATATACTAAATTTGAAAGCTTTGGATTGTTAAATTCAAATTGTTAACTTGTTAGAGGGAATGACAGAGCACAATTATGTAGACTTATGTGGTGTATCTTCCTTGTGAAACGTCTTTATTATAGTACTTTTCTCTTCAGTAGATACCGGGTATTATTATGAATCAGACTGTGAGACATTTCACATGATAGCACAGATGAAGCTGCAGGCATGTTGACTGGTCCACTGATAAAATGTGAAGGAATAGCTGTTGACCTGAAAGGCAAAGTTGAAATAAGGTTATAACTTCACCACAGTTATGAAAAGCCTAATCTGATTAGTCTTTCAGCCTGCCCTAGATGAGACAAAAACACACTTTTTCTCACACAACATAAATTCACTGAAACCCATTATCAGCCTTGTGATTATTGAGGTGGCAGCATGTACATGATTATATGAAAGATACAAGTAAAGGGTTATTTAGACATTGTTGGTTTTTTTAGTGCGACTATGTGAATAATCCCACTCACACATTCCAGTTTTGTTGTTCACACTATTTTTTAAAATCAGAACTGTATTTCTGCACATCTCTGTGAGTCCTGTTACTTACACATGCCAGCACTGCAAATAAAGATGAAGTTGCTGATGTGGATGTATTTGAAACACATTCAAGCCATGCAAAGTTTTATCCCAGTTTATCTCAGGTCTATTCTCATCAGTTATTCACACAGCTGGCAATGTGAATATTTTAAGAAAACTTGGAAAAAACCTCAGGGATCAATTCTCCCTGGTTAAGTGGTTTT